CAAGAAAAGAGTCTTCAGAAAGTCCCTTTCAGAAAGCTTGTGATGAGATGATGTGAGGGACTTGGCAGTCTTACATTGGAAGCAAGATAATTGATTTGAGTTTGATATGACACTGCACCTTGTTACAACAAGCAGTCTGCCCTGTGCAGAAGTAGAGCAAGAGGAAAGCAGGTATGTGCACTTCTGCTGGGGTGGAAGTTCTCTGGCTTTCAGTGTTTGCACAGTGAATTCAATGTCAACACGGGTACAGACAGCAGATCTCACAGGAGGCACAGGTAAATAGCCTGGCTTTCTGAGGTTTCTAGGAAGAGTTGCAGAGCTAAGGGATTTCTTCTGAGTTTTTGGCCTGTCATGAACTGGCAGATGACATGGGAGGAGGTAGTCCCTGGTCATTTGGCAGTGCCAAGAGCAAGCTTTGAACCATGCAAGCTTCTGGCCAGTTAGGAAACATTCCCACAAGACATTTCAGAGTCCTGACCTCTCGGCTGCCAGTGACAGTTTTGGGTGATCTTTTTATTTATATCTGGTCACTACTATTGAGTTGTCTCAGCTCCTCTCTTAGACTAGCCCAAGAAACTAAAAATGTTCAGTGGGAAACAGATTTTCTGAACAGTGCAAAACCATACCCCATCCATTCTCTTTTGGCTGTCTAAATGTGGAGGATTCTTAAAGTCTTGACCACCAAATAAAAGCCTGGATTTTGACAAGCTATTGATTAGGTGACAGAAAAAATTAATGACAACACTCATGTGACTTGGGCTGAATGGCAAATAAAAAAGTTAAGTGCAGTTATTAGTTTTAACAGACTAGCCACAGGATAGTAACAGTGTGAAAATGGGGAAGGAGACGGGCCTGGCTGAACAGGGAGCTTTTGGTGAACTCAGGGAAGCAAAAGAATTTATGACCTTTGGGAGAAGGGGCAGGAAACTGAGGAAAAGTACAAGGATGTCATTAGGTCATATAGAGAGAAAATCAGAAAGGTGAAAGCTCAGCAGCAAGTCAATCTGGCCCTTCCCGTGAAAGATAATAAAAACGTGTCTTAATAAATTCATTAATAACAAAAGGAGGGCTTTGGAGGTTTTTCCCAACCTTAATGATTATAGGATTTTGTGAAATACATTTATCCTTGAAACATGATATCTCAATTTTTGTCAAGTGCTTAAATTCACCCTTAGTTATATTTTCCTGGTTGGAGTTGCTGGAGAACTGAATTTCCTGGCTCTGGCTTAGAGAAATCTGTCACTTTGAGTAGGAATGAAACTTGACTGATGCAATCTTATCACAGTATCACTATATAAATGGATCTTATTTATTTTTAATTGAAATGTCAACTTAAAAGATGCAGTGCGTATTTTTAAATCACACTGACATTATATTTAGATATTTTCATTAAGTTCTGGGTATGCAGTCCCATTAAAAATAGGGAGCTAAGTATAAAAACATGAAGTCTTAATGCTTGCTTACTAAATATTCAGTGTGCAAGTGGGCATTGCTCTGGTAACACCTGTGAATAGAGCTATTCTGGTACATTTAAAAAGTGTCACTTGCATGAGTGACAGCCACCAATGTATTCATATTATTTCAGAATCCTGCTGATGGAAGGAGCTTTCCTGCAGCTATTTATCTTTACTTACATTCCCATCCCAGTTAAAATGTTTTTCTCAGTTTCAGGAAAGAAAGATCTAGTGATTTTTATTGCTAAAACAAGCACTGCTGCTAACTGTGGTGGAATGCAATTGCACACTATGTACTGGAAGTCTGGATACCAGGGAAGTGTTAATCCCTGCAGTTGAGGAATACCAGACATGGATAGTTTGTCTTAATTTATTTTGCTGGTTCAAGCCCCGAGCAGGGCCTAGACCAGGCTCATGTGGTAATTTCTGGCTACTCAAGGCATTGAGAGCAAACTGGGAGAAACCTGCCCCTCTTCAGCGATGCAGCCTTGCAGCACCCATGTGTGAGCACCTTAGTTAGGGCTCTGATCTTCCCAACTGGCTTCTTGGTAAATCTCTTAAAAAAAAAATTCTTCAGCCTGGCGTGTGAATGAACATTCCAGGCTTAAATAGCAGGGAAAGAATCGAGAAAGTATTTGATGCTTTGTTGACCAGCCAGGAAGCAGGGCCTATTTTTGGTTTTGGTCACTTTAGGCTGTGCTGCAAACATTGGCATGAAGGTCTAGGGGCTCAGCAAGAGAACATTTTTCTCCTCTTTATTTAAACAGGCACATTCCCAGAAGGGTAACAATCCAAAGTTTACACTTCCAGTGAAATGCTGTCTGAGAAGTGCTAGAAAAAGAAAGGTATGTGATAGAAAGTAGAGGTCAGAAAAGTAAAGTAGAGCAGAACTAAATGCAACAGAAGAGGAAATTCTACTACTTGAAGTCTTTTCTTATTAACTATAGCCTAAACTGGAAAAAAATGGGGGAAGGGGTTGACTTTTTTTTAGGGTTGTGCCATATGTCGATTTTAATCATGGTTAAAGTGGAGGGAAATGAAACAATTATAAAGAAAACCAAAGCAAAGCAAAACCAAGCATGGAAAGTCTTTCCCCATTTTAAATAGGAAAAGAGGCTGCCACAGGCTGCAAAAATAGTGCCATAGTATCACACTTGATGCTCTGCTCTTCTGTACAGTTGTTGTGTTTTGGGGGGGATTTCTTTTAGTTTTATTTTTTTTTTTTACACTAAATGAAACATTTCCAATAAGTGTGTTCCCTTATGCTCAGTTCCAGCTCTAAGTTTGCTTCCCTTTCCCTGTCATATATGTAAATCAAACCCCTGCCAGGTTGGTCAAGGGCAGGTGTTGTGCCCATGTGGAAGCCCAACAGCTGCATTCCTGCCTGGCATCCACCTGGATGGCTTTCTAGGATATGTTCCCAAGAGCAGCAGTCCCCAGCAGCCAGGTAAAATCCCAGTCTTTGGTTCAAATGGAACCTGTGAATTCAGTCAAGGTGTGCCCCCCATCCCTTTTCCAAGGGCTCTGCTGGACACTGCATTGGCTGCCCCATGTTCAAGGTTAGCTGTCAGTTCAGGGATTTTTTCATTGCAGCTCAGGGAGTTTTTAGAACTTTGGTGCAAGGGAAGATGCCTTTTTCCTTTGCAGACTCCTTGAGTGCTCTGTGCTGGGAAGATGAAGTTCCATTTGCTGCAGCTCCACAGACACTGTGGTGGCTGGCAGACTCCAGGCAGGAGTGATTGCCCTGGTGTTTTATTAGCTCCCAGAAAATATATAGCAGGGAGAGAGGCCATGCAGGCTCCAGCACGGTCTGCCTGAGCTCTGACCCCTCGGGCAAGAGGCTACATTGCTTTTACAGCCAGCACTTAACCTTGCTGCTGAGACTTGTCAACAAGGAGGCCAATTAGCAGCAAATAAGATGGTGGATGATATAATGCAGATGTCTGTCTGTTAGGGGCATAACCGATGTATTTTTAACTCAACAAGGATCTTAAAACACGGCTCTGCATAAATGATGCCATCCCCTCCACTGTAGAGAAGCTCTCCTGACAGTGAAGCGTTACAGAAAATTGTAAGTTTGTTGTTTTAGTTTGGTTTGCCTTTTTTCCTCCCTGCAAATTCTCTCTTAAAGCCTTGATCTGCTAGGCTCATGATGACTATGGCACGTGTAGGATTTTTAAGAAATAGCAATGAAAAAATGGCAATTACATTTTTTAAAATATAGCTTTAAAATGTACATAGAGTCAGAATGAAAACAGAGCACTTCTTGTTTTCCTGAAAGAGTCAGTAAACAACTGGAGCTGTTTTCTGTAATCAGACATGAATATTGGAATATTATCAGAAAACACAGACTAGAGAAAGTTAATTGATTAAAATCATGCAGGTCTGCGAGGCTGTTACAGCCACTGCTGCAAAGGGCAGGGGCTACTTACACATCTCAGCACGTCACACTAATACCCCTATTTGGGTGAACACAGGGGTTTTCTGTCAGACTAAAGCTTCAGGGGCTGCTTGCAGGCAGTTTATGTCTTGGTTGAGTCTGGGTCTGATCTTTTAAACAAAAGCTTATTATAAATTACTCTAGGGCTAGAGTTTCTATAAGACTTGCACTTAACTGCTAGCTGACCATTTAGGCAGTCAGGGTAATTCAGTAAGATAAAATAAGCTGAGAGGGGGCCGAGTTAAGTAATTCTGCAGTCTGGTTTTGGTGATTTAGAACTTACTTAAACAATTAAGGCACATCTTCATAGAATCACAGAATGGTTTGCAGTGGAAGGACTGCAAACCAGTTCCAACCCTCCTGCCATGGACAGGGACACCTTCCACTGGATTGGACTCTGGATTGCTCAGAGTCCCCTCCAGGCTGGCCTTGAACATTTACAGGGATGGGGCATCCACAGCTGCTCTGGGCATGATTTGCATGATTGCCTTGTAATTTCTAGGATAACTATTTATGTCTAGTGCAAAAATCTCCACAGAGAGTATCACTGTATATTTTCTATTACAGATAAGTGGGGGTGGGAAGAGAGAGAGACACCACATCTTCTTGAGAGACACCATGACTTACCAGCTCTATGTCAAAGCTCTTCTTTCAGCTAAGGATGCAGCTGCAGAAGAGGAGCAAGGAAGGAGAATGCTAACACCCAGCAACATGTACAAGTTACAAGAGTGAAATCCTGGAGCTTTCCTAGGACTATTTGCTGTATTTCTCCATCAGAAGGGAGAGCCAGAGCTTTCCTTTTCAATCTCAAAATGGAAGATTAATATCATTGATAAGAAGAAAAAAAAGGCAGGTATTATCTTCTTGTCTTGTAGGAGAATCCTTTTCCCCTCCCTCAAAATCAACTTTAAATATAGTTAAGGTGAAAAAAAGAGAGGAAGGAAGAACCAAAAGAAACCAGAATATATAGCCAACCTTTTTAATTAGAGTATATTGTACTTCCAAACTGGATACACTAGAAATTGGCAATGCAACATAAGATGCAAAGAAATATACCAGTTACTGTCAAAATGACCCTGTACAGCCTTATAATGCAAAAAGCTTTATACAATACAAATTTTTATTAATGTACACAAACCTTGATACAATGATACTTGAACATAATACAACAAGTAAAAAAAAAAGGAAGAAAGAAAAAAGTGCTGAGAACTTCAACTGAATTACTGAATGGAAAAAAACACGCCAGCTTTCGTTAAAGAATGCATAGTGAAAACCAGTATGAAATTGCCTTTATGGTGGGGGAATTTATCAGAACTGTTGGTCATTGATCAGTAGGGGGAACCTCTGGAGATCATTCCTGTCTTTAGTCTTGAACTGCAAACAAATTATTTTAGTATGCAAGAGCTCTGATAAATAGTGTATTTTTTTTTCTTAAAAAAATAAAAACCTCCTAACACACTTTTCCTTACAGAGAAAACTTCTACAACTTGCCAGAAAGAATGAATTTATCCTTTCCAAAGTGCTAGACAAATTTCCCAGGTACACTAAACATTGCCAGGTCAGATACTGGTGCAGTGGAACGTGGTCAAAACACATGGCGGTCACATGTGGGCAGCTCATTCTTGGAAGTTCCCAGCCCCATTTAAACTGCCATTTGGTTTGGATACAGTGGCCTATTATTACAACATTCCTCCTTCTTCCTCCTGTACTTTACTTGTAGTTGGTGTGAAAAACAAACTTTTTGATTTGGGAGTGTTTGGTTTTCTGTGCTGTGGTCAGAGATGCGTGTGGAGTGTGTTTTACAGAACTGGCAGAGCTGCTGGATACACATTGCAAATTTCATGCTGTCACGATAGTAACTATTGTATGCTCTAAGTACTTACTAACCCAGTGTTTTCTATTTTGTCTGTACTCCCAGGGAGGTGTGAGCAGGAGCTCTGATGGAGTAAAGCCTGGTGAGCAGGGCCCTGAGTTAGGTAAGCTGTTCACAAAGGTTTACATGCAGTTTGGAGCCGATGGGTTTTCTTCGCTGCATAGACAGAACCGCCAAGTGCTCTTTAGAACCAAAACTGTCTGCTGGAATGTAAACAAATGGTGAGACTTCTCTGTCCTGTAATTAATAATGCCAAATAATAACCTGCTATGATTTTGGATATTTTCCCCTTGTAACTAGCTTCCAGTGTGGTAACAGGAGTGCGCAGATTAGGATGTCCTCCACAAACAGGAAGAATTTGGTCATGACAGTTTGGCCATCTCAGTACAAAACAAATGTAGGAATCTTGCAAATAGGTTAAAGTGATGCAAGTTTTGCATCCAGAAAGTCTTTCTACATAAGCTTCATTTAAGAACTAATGAAGATCGAGTTACATTTCTACTTGTCCATATGGCTAAGAGCCCTTGTGGACAAGAAATGCCTTCCTGAACTGGGTCGTTGCTTTCCTGCTGTCATGAACAAGGGCTGGTTGGATCTCTCCATCCCACAACAACCTGCAGAGGAAGTTCCTTCAGGACAGCACGAGGGTGGGTAGACAGCATGAGAGATTTGACTCGGGGCACCTCCTACAGTGGCTTGGCCAAGGGACAGGAAAGGACTGTGGCAAAAGCTAAGTCAGACACTTCTAATAGCTGGTAAAAGACAGCCAGATCCAAATCCAAGAGACACCATGGAAAACAAGAATTCAGTATGAAGGCATTCCTGTATGTCACATGATCATTTTAAATTGCTTCACATTTTATACTTCCAATTGTAAAACAGAGTGCTTTTAATCCCAATCTTTCTTCCCACATATTAAATTCTCTAAGGAACAGAAATCAATTAACAGTCAGTTAGCTTCTCTTGCATCAATATCACTCTTGGCATTTTGAGATTAACAAAGGTTATACAACCGATCTGCATTTGCTTCTTCCTGCAATAAAGTGCTACATATAACATGTCATTTTAATGACCACAAGTAGGAGCATTAAATAAGTACAAAGTTAGCTTCCTAGCAGGACACACTCTATCTGCCATCAACAGAAAGGAATAAAGTATTACTGATGACATGGAGGGGAGCGAGAGGACTGTCAAATTTGCAAGTACAATTGAAATAGTGAGGGTATAAAAGAGAACTTTATGGTTCCAAAAGCATCTTTTTATAGCTTTATATTTCAAAGAAGTTACTGGTACCTTTTCAAATAAACAGTCTTATAACTTCAGCCCACAATTTGTTTTTTTTTTCTTTTTTTTTTTTGCAAGTGAGAAACAAACTAGTGCAAGACTAAAGCACTGTGCAAAACTGCCTTTTTTTTTTAGTCTGAGTATTTATACCCAGAATTTACCATACCCTTTTTTTAAATCCCCTTGTTGGATTTTTTTTTCCACCATAGAATTCTAGTTATACAAGTTGTTCCTGCAAACTAAAAGGTAACCACTGCATAACACAGTATATATATATAATATTTATATGCCCTTTTAAAACAAAAGATGTACATTGTGGCCCAGAGGCAGGTGTTTGTCACACCTGTGTAAGAGCTGAGAATTGGACCTGCTGTGTGGCTGCACACACTGCATGTGTATGTGTGGACATACATACTCTTTTCATTGCTCTCATCCTGCAGTGCTGAAAGCAACTTTTTTCCTCATCAGTTCCACCCCAAATCCTCAAACCTTGACAAATGAATACAAGGCGTCAAACAACTAAAGGAAGCTGCAAACAGCATTGAAATAACACACTGGTTCTCCCCCTGCCCCACCCCAAACATTGCTCCTTCTACAGCTCCACAGTTCAGGGGGAGGCAGGGGGAAGGCAGGGAGAGAGTGTGTGAAAAGGGGAGAAGAAGGATGATTAAATAAGCCAATCCAAGGGATGTGCAAAAGCAATGTCATGGCACACTACAGGCAGCCTCTCTTCCACACACCCGCACGCACACAAAGCCCAAAAATAAAATGCATCAATATGTCATCTTACAAGTGCTGATTGCCAATAAGGACACTCTTTTTTTTTTCAGCTTAACAAGACAAAATAGTTTCTTAGATAAGAGTACTGGGAACATGCCTCTGAAGGTAGAAGTATGCAGTAGGTCACCTCTTGGAGATTTAATAAAGCAGCTTTCATGTCAATGCAATAAGTATACACACAGAGCCATTTGCTAAACCTTACTAATGATATAGTACAAGTGTTCGTTACCTCTTGGGGCTACGTTTTGCAGCCATGTATAACCTGCTGGGTTTGTTGGGGGATTTTTGGTACAGAATGCAACTGCCCTCAGACAGTTTCTGCCCTTTCTGTTAGTCCAAGGTAGGCAAGGAAGGAGTGTTTAGGTGAAGAGGCACCTCCCGGTGCAGTCTGAGGTCTGGGTGGATGGAATGTGAGATCGTAGTGGTTTTTGGGGAAAAACATTGTTAAAGGAATAAGGTGGGCAAACTCTGAGTTCCAGTATTTATCAAAGCACAGGGAAGTGCCGTTGACGGCCAAGGCTTTCACTGCCAAGTTTGGCTCTGCCCCGCTGCCGTGTGCAGCTGACATAGCTACTGTCTGCAGAGCCTGGGAGGCAGACATAACTGAGAGGGGTGACAGAAGGTTCCTGGAGCTGTTCACTGGTAGGAGCGGACTGGCTTCCTTGGAGGTTGAATACTGGCTCTTCTTCTCCTCTTCGGAGCAGTCCCCACTCTGGTGCTTCTTCACGTGGCGGCTGAAGACAAAAGGGTGGGTAGTCTTGAACAGGCACTCGTCGCAGCTGAAGGTCTGGCGTGGAGCGTGCTTCAGTTTCTTGTGCAAGTTGAGATTGTCTTTGCGTTTGCAGCTGTAGCTGCACTGGTCACAGTGAAAAGGGCGCTCGCCGGTGTGGACACGCACGTGCTCGATCAGCTTGTTGGCCGTCTTGGACAGGTAGCCACACTGGTCACACTTGTAATGGTTGCCAAGGCGGTGCTCTCGGATGTGCATCTCCAGCTCCAGCTGGTTGGCTTTCACCGTCTGGCAGATCCGACACTTGTACTCCATCTTGTAGTGAGTCTTCAGGTGGCACTCCATGGCTGCAGGGCGGTTCGTGGAGTAGATGCAGAATGGGCACCTGGCAACACAGCAAGGAAGGGCAGGGACAAAGAAAAGAGTCACTCAGGTGGCAGACCTGCTTTCCTGCTTCAACCCTGGTGCTCAGCCCCTTTCTGACCTACTGAGGAGAAAAATGCACTCAGTTCTCCCTGTGAAACCTCTTTCCAATACTTGGTTCACCTTGACACATCTCTACTTATAGGAGGTTTGCCCATTTAATGGCATTCCTAGGAAAACACTGATTCACTCTGAAGGAGCATCCCTTTAATCTTCTGGCTTACCTTGATGGGGTCTTCCCCCAAAGCAGGCCGGGAAGTACAGGGTGGGTGACTGATGCACAGGTACTTTGTGTAACGATTCCTAGTGTTTGCACGAAGTCACTTTGGCCATTTTTTCCATTAAGAAGTGGTTTAAAGTGAATGTTTACAGATGAGTATGAAAACAGCTGTTTAAGTAAAGATGGAATAAACTTGTAATACCACACGTAAAGCAAAAGCTTAGGAATTCCCTTTTATGTGACCTTGAACAATAAGCTTGCTGGGTATCCTGCTAGGAGCAGCTGAAAGCCAGGCTGTTAGGATGATTTGTAGGGACTCCCATTTCTGGGAGATGAGCTAGCCATGCTGAAAGGGGCCTGTGCTTGGCAGTGTTTGCCTACAGCCGCCTCTGCCACATGGCAGGAATTGCTCCTGTGTAGGAACAGGATGTGGGTTCTGCTTACTCACAGCAGCAAGCATCTGGCCTGGGGTGGACATGGCAAAGGGCCTCACCCCAGCTCCTGAGCCAGGAGGGGCCGAGAAGGCAATCAGGAAAGTTTGGAAAGAAGCCTGAGATGCACACTGAACAAGCCTGGCCACCCACCAAACCCAAAGCACACCCACTGTTGCTTGGTGCAGCTGAGAGGAAGTTGGTGGGGAGAGCTCCCTGCCAGGGATCTCTGTACTGAACCAAACACGCACCTTCCACATGGAACTGGTGAGCTCAGAGAGGAGGGCTGGATAAAAACTTACAGCTAAGGGAGCTGGCTACTGTCTTCCAACATCCCTAGGTGCCACACATCTGCATTCACTGTCTAGCAGGTCTGCTAGTTGTGTTCTGGCATTCTGGATAATTTCTAAGCTGAGATTCTCTCTCTCCCTATGCATGTTTTCCTTGCTACATTTGATTGCAAATACAGGTATAATATTACTCTACAAGTTAATCAAGAGATTTTGGAGGAAAGTGAGTAGTAACAGGAGGACAGAGATACTAAAACACCTGGACACATTTCCTGATGCACATCAAGTACTCTGATCCAGAGAGGGAGCCTGTCACTGAGGCTTCTAATGTGATTATCTCTTTCACCAGAGGACTTGGCTGTCAATGCACACATACCTCTCCTGGGCTGGGTGCTCTCTGGATCAGAATCTCAGATTTTGACCTGGAGCTGGAAGAATCATGTTTTTTTTCTCTTCCCCCACAGCAAACAGGAGACAGAAAAATACAATTTACTTAGATCTCTTCAGGCTCTTCTGGATGCCTTAAAAAAAAATAAATCAGAGCTTTTTCTTAGATGCAGCTTTCAAGATACCTAACTATTACTTGAGTTGGGCAGGAATATAGACTGAGAAACCCACTCTGTCGGGAAGACTTGAGTCATATTATTGTCATGTTTCTTCCTTGGTAAATAGAACAGATTTTACGCAGCTTAAACCAAATGTGCACCCTGTATGTCCAAGGCAGACATCCCGTCTTTCTGACACACTGCTTGTTTCTCAATCTGGTCTTCTTCCCAGATTCAGTCATCTCATCTCAAGTGACCACAGATCCCAGTCTGTGGAATTACTGAGCTGGAGACCAGAGGCTGCCTGGCAAACAGGACCAGTTTTCCAAAGCTGCAGCACAAACCGAGGGAGCTGCACGTGGCAACGCTGGACGTGGGACGCTCCTCACATCCCAGCCACAGCGCACGGAGAACATCAGTCTGCTCTGCAACAGCAGCAGAAGCTGGGAGCTCTGTGCTCCATCCTACCTGGGCTCCAAGTGGTTCCAGCCTTTTCTCCTGCAGCAGCTGGACCAGACAGAGACCAGGGATGTGCATTTTTCATAACTTCACACTGCCTGCCCAGAGAGCAAGCATATGGCCCCAGCAGCCCCTCCTTCCCTCTGGGGTCTGACTTTGACATAAGGGCACACTCATTCTCCAGAAACACTGCTCTGCACCAGGAGACCTTAAAGGACACCACCACAGCCAAAACCAAAGGGCTTTTATCTTAAAAGACTGTATTACTCATTACACATCAATTTATACAACAGTGATTGTTGTGGGGCATACAAACAAAGCAGAAAGCATCCAAGTTAATAATTCTTGGAGAGAAATGACTTTGGATTTGAGTATACAGAGGCTAAAACCTTTAAGGTTGTAATTTCATACCTAGTTGCAGAGGCTGTACAGGATTTAGTTTCTTTGAACTAGGTGCAAAACAGAGCCTGTGCTGGGTGCTTCTTTTTGCTCTGATGTCTTGGAAACAAACCCTAATTCTGCCAAAAGCTCTTTGCAGTACTGCCTCATTCTCTGTAGGACCCATCACATATTGTCTCCTCTTTAACTTGAACGGGGAAAGGACCACAGTTTGTTACACTCCTCTGCTGCTAGGTCACCAATCTGCTGTAATGATGCAAGCCTGAAGGACAGGCCTTGGGTCATGTAAATACAAGGAAGCCCCAAATCCGGATTATTAGTTAACCAACCCCTTCTGACTGACTTCCTTTTGTCCAATCCCCACAGTATTAAGGTGCTTAACACAGTAAAAGTTTGTGTACTTGCTTTCCTTACTTGAGCCCACCGGTGGGGACAGTGTGGCATTTCTTGTGCTCCAGTAATTGCTCAGGTGTCTTCATGAACTTGTGGCACACGTCACACTCGAACATCCGTGTGATCAGGTGGATCTGCAGGTGACGCTCAAACATATTTTTTGTTTTGCAGACAAAGTTACAGAAAACACATTCAAAGCCTGAAAAATAGAACAGGAAAACATGGTCCTTACACTGTGGCCAGATTGACTGCATAGAGTCAGAGTTTGTATTTGTTAAACAATTTTTTTACCTTTCTCTGACTTCTCTTCAGTGTTCACTGAGGTCTGACTACCAGGCACTACAGAAATGACCAGCAGGTTGTTTGACCCCTTGTTTTTTGGGGTTATATCTGCATCTTCTTTGCTGTTGGCAGAGTCACTTAGTGCTGACAGCGAAGATGAAGACGGACTGTTAGATTCACTGGGTGTCTTTCTCTCTTCAGCTGAAAACAAAGAACAATAGTTCATCAGATTAGATGGAGCCTCCATGATTCTGTTTTAAACTTCAGGAAGTACTTATATTTAAAGTTAATTCAAAACAAGTCTGAAATTAATTGAGCTGATTAAAAAACCGTTGGATCTCCTTCCTTTTTATTAGTGTTTAACCACAGTACATCTCTCAGTTTATCCTGCCATTGTGTGTTTCTGTGATGGCAGTGAAAGGGATCATGCAATTCTACCTTGTTACTGAAAAAAATCCCAAGAGAACCCCTCGAGTTCAAAAGCTTGTCACTCAGAAAGGAAACAAAATTTCTATAGCTTAGAGGGGCAGAAACCAAAAGTACCTACTGGTCCAAGCTAAACTTCCCCCACCTTTCCATTTATGTGGGTCCAGTGAGTAAATTTGGGATGAAGGGTAAAGGAGAATAATTTCCCTCATTGTACTGAAGAGCACCCTCAGTAACAGAGGTAACAGTGTGATCTCAAGATTTATATGCTTTTATTAGAATCTCCTTTCAAAGATAATTGAAAAGCATGTTTTTTCACTGGACCTAGAGATAAAGCTTCTTCATGAAAGAAAGAAAGCAGAGCTTCCTTAACTGTGCAGTAAGTGTATGAAGTCCAAACCTCAAACCCTATCACACACTACAACTGGACAAGAGGGAGAGTTCCCATTTGAGAACTGCCATGAGCCAACAAGGCAAGGATGGGGAAATTATTCCCTCCCACCCTTGTCCTGGTTCGATGACAACTGTGTTAAAAGGAGACTTCCCTAAAATTTCAAATTCTCCATGTGATGCAATTCCTCGATCAAGAGCTCTGCAAACACCAGCACCTGTGTGCTTAACTTCAAACTGATGAGTGGCACCTTTAAGATAAAAACGTAGGAATGCACTAATGAAATCTGATGACCCAAGCTGCCAGTAGGGAGGATGGCTGGATTTCATACAGAAAGATTCACTGACCTTGGGGACAAGAGTAACACAAATGGAATGAAATTTAATAGCACAGAGAACAAGGTTATGACCTGAAGGGCCAGTAACAAGAATTTTTGCAACAAATGAGAATGCTTAGGTTGGAAACAGTCAAGGAAAACAAAAGTAGAATTCGAGCAGAACAAAGGATGAATATGAGCAATCAGTGTTGGGGAGCCTTCAAGGAAGGTAAATGTGATCACGGAATGTTATTGTGTGACCTATTCCCAGTAGCTGCTGCTGGTTTGCACTGCCACCACTGCTTATTTCATTTCAGCATGTACAGCTGTAATTGCATATGTCCAAAGCAGGGATTCCAACAAGAACATAGGCAGTGAGGGATTGGTACAGCAGGAAAACTGTGTTCCATATAGGAAAAGACTCAGTGTACATTTGGAGGGGAGAGCATTGTTCTCCAGAAATGTACGAAGGAAATAAATGCTGTGGAAGGAGGGATGAAAGGTGGAGGGACAAAAATGCAGACTGCTGTTTCAGATAGAGGGCAGTTCTGGACAAGAACAATGTATGTGTATTCTGATTATCACCACGACACACTGTAACACCACGAAATTTTAAAAAGGTCCCTAATCTTTAATGCAAGAAAATCTACAGCTGCCTGTCTCTTGAAACAGTTTGTTTAAAACAATGATACTTCTTTGAAGGCATATGCCCTATCCTCACAAACAGTCCCTTTATGACCTTGTAATATCACAGGATAAGGAACTGGAGTCAAGTGACCCAGAAAACCCATTCTATTTTTTACTCTCTATTTGCCATATGTGGGAGCATTTGGCTGCGTCACCAGCTGAGGGGCTCAGTTAGGCAGGGTGAAGGAAGAACAAGGGGGTTTTGCCTATCTTCAAAAGACAAGCAGCAGTTTCAATCTTTTAGCCACAATAGAAAAATACAGCAGAGCACAGCTCACTTTTGAGCTCTGAGACTTTTCACATAGCTATGGGTGGTGTTTCTCATTTGTCTTGAACTCCTCTTTATGAAGTGAAGTAGTGCTGAAAGCTATGCTGGCATAAAATCCCTTGAGAGCTTTCCAGTAGTTCATATTTCTGTAGTTCCATTTAACTTATGTATCTGTGAACACAACCAATTGTATTCTTCTCTCCCTTCTTCTTCATCCCTCCTGTTTTCCCAATTTTATTCCTGGTAGGACAAGAAAAGCAATTTAGCAATGGGAAAGTTGTGCTGGATGCAATCAGGTTCCGTATTGTAAATACAACTGTAAGTAGTTAGTAGTAGTTACAACTGTAGTTGTAAGTAGTTTGTGGCAGCAAAAATGCTTCTGCCTGGTCTTATAAGAGAAATTAATTAAAAGGATTCCAATTTTCTTCTCCTTAAATTATTCCAGACTTCATTAGTTGGACTAAGCATATGGAGCTTGTTTGAAAACTGCTATTGCTCTTATCCTTGGCTATTAAGTGAGCAGGACCAAGGAGCAAGCACAACTTCTTCTGCTATTTAATATAAAGTATATTTATGGTATTGCTGTATCACAGTGTCAACTAAACATCAGTGTGAAATTCCAAACTGATGGACTGTAGGGGCAAACACAGCGAGGAGCAAAGCTCAACAAAATGTTCATTTCAGACTTAGGGCCAGGTACACACAATTAGCCCTCAAAGTCACCTTATGATCGCTGAAGTCAAAGCAGGATTTTGATGAAATAGTAAACCAGAAAAACAAATGAAATATTTGACTGACTCCAGCAAGGGAAGGGATTTGGGGGATAAGGGGAATAGGAAGAAGAAGGGCTAAGTAGTCCTTCATTTATTTCACTAAGCTTGAAAATTGATCTGTAGTACCAGATTATTTGCCTGTCTGGAGTCCAATTCACTTCAACTTTGAGAGATCAGGCCTTAATTAGCAAGCATTTCAGTGAAAGCAGAGTGCTAATGGGAAGTGTGAAGGTTGCACCTAAAAAGCAAGGAAGACAGAGATCACTGCAGCTGGGAGAGAGGGATCATCACCTGTGTGCTTGTTGTTGACATGAGCCTTCATATCTGCCTCTTCCATAGTGACAAAATCACACGCCGTGCAGCAAATGGAGAACATCCACTGCTCCTTATCCACGTGGAGGGACATATGACTGACAAACTGGACATTCATCTCTGTCTCAAACCCACACACATGGCAGCTGCAGGCAGAAAAGAATTCAAGAGTGAAAGAAACATTAAAAACCAAACAACAAACAGAAGACTATCGCCTTTACCCAGATTTGCAAGAGGAAACAGCACAGTTTTCTGCTCTTCCTCGCTGCTCAGTGTTCACTGCAAAATTCTTTTGTCTGCTGAACTGCCTTTGAACTGATGGCCATGCCAGTGTGATTAAGGGCAGGCACAATGCAACAATCCTGTACATGCTATAATGATGCTAAATAATCATAAAGTTAATTAAAAACTACAGATTCCAGATGCTGTGCATCACCTAACCGATTCCTTTGGGCAATAAGAGGCACTGCAGCTTTGCCAAGATGTTTAGTACAGCTGATACACTGACAAACAGAGAGCTTGCTGCACACTCCAGGAGTGATTTTTGAGCCCTGGAATGGTTCCCATGCAAAACTGGGATCTTGTGCAAAACTGCCTGGCAGTTTCAGTGAAAGCAAGTAGAAATGGGTTCAAACATTTCTTATGCTTGACTGGAAAACAGCAGTCTTTAGCTATGAGAATAATTAGCAGGGATACAGATTTTGCAGCCAGCACATAAACAGAGTGATACTGAGAAGCAGTGGAAAGGACTCTTTAATTTAACTTTCTTTGCAGAGTCCTCCTCTTGTTTTGATTAGGCCATTAACATTTAAAACAAGCCAGAAAGATTGGAAAAAGCATATACTCCAGGGCACTATTTTGCTTTCCCAAGGGGAAGTACTAGATAATCTAATCCAGCAGGTCTCATTTATTTCTTACTTCTATGATTTTGTAATTAAATCTGCTCTTGGCACTTTGACTAAAAGTAAGAGTGATTTGGTAATCTGCTTGGCCACTAGAGTGCACATCACAGTTTGCAGAGTGCACAACAGTGCATACAACAAGAAGAATGTCTAAATATCCATTTTATCTGGGCAATTCCTTTCAATTTTTCAGGCAAATTCTCCTGAAGGTTTTCTTTCTTTCACCATGTTTGTCACAGAATGTATGTACTTCTAGCAAACAGAGGAAATGTGTAGATTGATATAACAACTCTTGATAACACTTTTAAGTTATTTGATTTCATAAATTTGGCCGAAGACAAGGGAACAATCAGAGGCAACTGGAAGCACTGGGCGATTCGCTCTGAATCCATATATATGACGGGATGTCTCCAAACACAAAACTTAAAAGAACACTGCTTAAAAAGTTAGAGAGATTTCTAAGAGCCCAGCTGCCTCACAAAGCCACTTAAAAAAATCAAACCCCCGAGTCCTTCCCACGGCCAGCCAAGTCAAACAGCACGAAGCAGCCAGCCGGGGTTCGCTGCTCATCCTAAGCCAGACATGGGCAAGACAAATACTTCAGTCATGGCTCCAACCCCGCAGCACCAAAAGGGTGGCCCTGTCACATGTCCCTCAGCAGGCACATGGGGTGCACAGCCCTCGTTGGGGCGCTCACCTGTAGTAATAAGGGTGCTTCTTTCCGTCGCTGCCCTCGGCCGTGACGGCGCTGACGATGTCCTCGGTGTCGGTGCTCACCAGCTTCACCGAGTGCACAGTCAGGTGCTGGTTCAGGTTAGCACGGCACTTAGCAGCATAGGGGCACAAGTGGCATTTGTATTTTCTCTCTTCTGAAAAAAAGGAGCAGGAAGATGTGAGTGCATACCTCGGTTCTGAAGCCAGCTGCTTTGAAAGCTGCCAGTAACCAAACGTGCATTCCTTTGGGTTTCTCCAAGCGGCTTTCAGGGTGAGCGGCTTTGGAAGCTCGACATTTTAGAAGTTTATAGGAGTTCACAGCAATTACTCAGAAAAAAAAATCCAACTAATTTGAAGGTAGTTTAGGGCAAAACTTTTTTAATTTGCTCTACCATTTGTGTCGGATAATATAAAACTTTATAAACTGGAAAACTGGGACAACTGCTGTTCCGGGAGCTGCAGCAAAGCCAGTGGAGAAACAGGTCAATAGTCTACAACTACTTCCTTTACCCAGCATCTTTTATTTGATTTTTGGACTTAGTTATTGTTGAGGTTGCCCATGTGATCACTTGCAGAGAGCTAATAGTTGATGATTTTGTATTAAAATCTGAGGGCAGGAGGAAGGGGAACACTAATCATCAGTCCAGTTCCAAAAATAAACTAATGAATAAGGTCACTCAAAGAACAGTCAAAAAAACCCCAACTAATTCCTCGTGCGTTTCTGATGCTTCACAATTTAAAATACTCCTCTTTTTTATTTTAAATTAATAATTTCTAGATCCTGGTAGCACAGTTTTTGTGCATGCACCAGGCTGCATTTTGCAAAGGGTTGATTAAAATAACCAAACATTATGTCAGCTTTTACAACCTTTTCCTTTGAGGGTCTGTTCCTCTAAAATTGAAATACAATGCTACAAGTGTGAGGGGAAAGGCATTCCATAAAGCAGCTTAGGACTAAGGAAACCCCACTAGACCATGGAGCATCTGAGCCTTTTCAGGATGGCACAACATATACTGGCATTATAGCAACAGGATTTCTCAGCACTACATGGGAATCTCTTGCTTCCGAGTGTTATTTTGTGCAGTGCACCTCACCGGGCTGACAGAGTGCATGTTCCATTAAAAACTCTGTTTGTCTCAGCTGATTTGAAGCAGATTCACTTCAAGAAAGTTGAAATGGGGTAGAATAGTCTCTGTTCCTCTCAGAACTGTATGATGAGAGCCAAGATGGATGAGTTATTCAATCCTTTCAGATCTAAAACACCAAGGCCAAGTCTTTAGTTGTTCAGAGATACTTAAAAAGTTAATCAGGTGAATGATATTTGTATCCAAAAAAACCCCAAATTGTCCAAAAAAAAGGGCTGTGCCTTCTCTTCAGAACTCCATTATCAGGCTTGGTTACCAGTTGGTGTCTACAATCTGATGTGCTGGAACCTGGACAAACTGGGCAGGTTCTGTAAGGAGAAATTTCACATAGGCTGCAAAGAAATAAAATGTTCACTCCCTAAGCCCACTCTGACGTTTTGTCCTGTTCTTGTGCTTGGCTCTGCTCCAGGTGGGCTGAGGATGGCTCACACACTCCTCTCCTCACCATCCTTCTCCTCCCTGAAACAAACCCCATGGAATTCCTGAGTGCTGTAACAACCACAGGTAAGCCCTGCCTTACCTGTGTGCAGTGAGAGATGCCGGGACAGAGTCTGCTGGCGACCAAACACTTTTCCACACACATCACAGGGAAACAGCTGGTCGTTAAATTTCCAAGATGGCAATCCATTTCCCACCTCCAGCCCCAGCTTTTCTGCTTCTATGCCAAAAAACACAAAGTCATCTTAAGAACTCTGAAGACTTGCAGATTTCATTCAGTAGAGCCCTGTAGGCGTCATATAAAATGCAGCACTTCAGCAGCACACTGTGTGATCTGGAACATGAGTTCATTCAGAAAGGAAACTCCCAGTGCTGGAAAGGAAATTAATCTTTCATACAGCATCTTTCTAAAGCAGAATATTGACCCAAAGTGATCTGGACATAGGCACAGCCAAAGAGTTAAACCAGGTTATGTACTGAGAGAAGATCAAGAGTGAGCAGGGCAAGCATTAACCTCTAATTATGGTTTTGTGGAACAACCACTCCTTTGGCTTTTTCAGTCACTCACCTTTGCCTGGTGCATGAAGAAGCCTGGTCTGAAATGGTCTGTCTAACACTGGATTATTATTCATGGCTGAATGAAGATTTTCAGATCGTTTCTTTTCTACTGAGGCAGGAATGTTTCCTACATAGAATCGTAGAACCGTTTAGGTTGGAAAAGACCATTAAGATCAAGTCCACCCATTAACTTAACACTGCCAGGTCCATCACTAAAGCTATGTTCTAAAGTGCCACATCTTCACACACACGAGTAGTCTTGACTCTGAAGACCAGAAGATTGCTCAGGCAAACATTAAAACCAAAGGACACAGCACCCCAGTATATGGCTGGCCTCCAAGGTAAGCTCTACCCAGCACTGCTCTCCTCTGGCATCAAAATCCCCAGCAGCTCAGAGGGCTATTGAAAAACTGTGACCTAGAGAGAGCTATTATCTTTTAATAAGTGGTTTTAATTGTTTCAGGAACAGAGAGAGTCTGCAATACAGAAAAAAAGAAACCCCACCGAGCACAGAGATGAAGGCACTTTGTAAGGAAGTCGAGAGAAAGGGACTGGGAATGAAGAAGAGGGAAAAAGGTTACACAATGCTTCTAGAAGTTGAAAGCATGGCCAGTTTTGATTCGGACAGAATGGAGCAAAAAGCAGGTAAAGACTGAGGAAAGCAGTGTACTACTTAAAACAATAAAAGAAAGAGCATCAGCAAGTCTTGAGTGAAAAAATACCCTGTGCAAGGGTTCTGTTGCCTGAGGAGAAGGGACTGCTGTTTTAAGAGGTGCACAGAACTACACGGGTACTTTTTAAACACAGCAGCCAGCAGTGAGGGGCTTGGTGTAATTCTTCTAGTTCCACTGGAAGGAAAGATGCCACTGGCAGGGCACCGTTCCCTAAACCTGGGAATTGCTGCCCAGAACAAGCTCCACCAGTGCATGTGAACATGCCCTGATGGAGCAAAACCACTTGGCTGGGATTTCCAGGTAAATGGGGGGAAAGGAGCTGTGCACAGGAATTTAAAAACATTGTAATGAGCATAAGCATAATGGAGCTTGGCACAAACAGGAAAATCTTCATCCCATGAAGCACTGAGGAATAAACACCCCACCTTGTACTGACTGTCAGCTACCACTGCAGATGTGACTACCATGGCTGAGAGAGTCTCTCCTTCAGAGAGCTTCTCACACAACTCCACTGTGGTTTAGGCTAAGAGCTGTCAAATACTGTATTTAATTTAAGCAATAATAAAAACAATGCCTCATTTGGGGCAGAGAGTCCACATAGCAATCTCAGCAAATTTAGGGCTGGCCATAGTTGCCAGCCCCTTCTTCCCTGTTGTTTCTTTCTCCTGTGACCCTGTAATAGGTACAATATTCACACCAGACGAATTCTGAGCCACCTCTGAGTGCTACCATCCAACAACATATTTTTCTTAAAAGAACATCTAGTTAGAAAACAAGTTCTGCCTATTCAAAATACTCATTTTGTGAAATTAAAAAGGAAGACACCCCCCATCCCCTAAGGGCTGTAAGTGACCCATAACCTCTAAGAACTTCAATAAAGAAGGATTCTTTTTATTGCTATCCTTGAGTTCCAAACAATGGAAAAATCTGACTCTGTGGTAGTGCTACAGATGTTTCAGCAGAGCTTTTTGAGTACATAATCAAAACAGTGCTTCAAATGAGGAAAATAGTAATAATTATAAGAGAAGGTCACAAGGGTGTAGGTTGCTTCAATATGGTCACAACAAAAATGAATTAATTGGGACACATACCAAACAACCAGGCTCAATTAAGTAAATAAGTCTCTCAACAATTCACTTCAGTATTAGTCATCAGCCCTCTTTTATCTCTTAAGAAAAAGAAATATAATATCCTCTTTCCTATGAGGGATTGTCCTGGGAAGCTCATGGGAAGCTGGAAAAATAGCAGTTTTCTGATTATCTCAAGCTGGTGACAGCTAGTTCCTTCCAAAGCAGTTGCATATTTTTCATTGATGCAAAAGAGGACACTGAGGTGTTTTGAAAGTATTTCTGTTTACCTTAAAGATGTATTCCTGGAGTCCTAGCTACAGTGCTCCTTCATTTTCTTTTGACCGAATCTTCTCTCTGCAGCAAAGTGCTATTTCTATTCAGCAGCTTCTTAGCTTGCTCATGGCAAACCAGAGCTGGTCTCTTGTAACAGGAGCCTCAGCACTTTGTGAAAGATTTCTCAGCTCCACCTAAAAGCACCTATTTCCAGCCCTCCTACCCTCCAGGCAAGTTTTGACTGCATCCTGGAAACTGGAGCTCTGTGTCCATGCACTGGTCCAGAAATCTTCCCAGAACATGCCTGGCACCTGACCTTGCCAGTGACCTGGAGAGTCATGTGAGTCAACTTCCACACTCATTCCTTGGGCTCTGGCTCTAACTAGTGCCAGGGAATGGTGTTTTCTGGGAAGTGAGTACAAGACCACAACACTGGGCTGTGCATAGTGTTCTCACTGCAGCCCTAAGCCCTGTTCCAAGGCAGTCAGTACTGCTGGCCTTAAAGAACACCTTACACAGTGGCCAGGAAGAAGATGGACTGAGACCAAGTAATGTTAAATAATAAATCACTGTTGTGAAAGATGTCTAACAGAAACCCATCATTCATTCACCATGACATACCCTATACTAAAATGAAAAGGAAAACAAAAAGAGAAAAATAAAGGACCTGATGCAAGATTTCTGCTTTAAATGTCCACAGCAAATTCCAAAACTCCTATGTCAGAAAATTATACAAGAAAAATGATATTGAAATTATTTAACTAATACACTAATTACTGTTTGAGTTTTGGAGTTTAAAACAAAATATGCTCAGTAAAATGAAAGGCCTCAAAGTTCTCCAGTACAACATTAAAAAGAAACAGAAGAATTAAGAGTCGGGATATTACAAAGCTAGCGATAAAATTATTTTGAAATAATTTTGCATAGAACCCTTAAGAGCTAAGAATCTTATGTAAAGGCAAGACTTCATTAAATATAGTGGAATACATCTTTATGGACACCTTTCCTGCCCTCCTGCATCACCTGGTATCACTCCCCCTCTAGCCACAAGTCAACTTCATAATGAGTAGCTGATCATCCAAGAAGGGGTTAGGAACTGCCAGCACCTGTATTTTCTCTGAGATGACATCGACTGCAGAAACACTGTTCTGTGCCTCCTCTTCCCCCTCCAAATAGATTTAATTCCTGGCAAACAAAGCACTGCAGCTTGAAAGAGTCAACCCTTTTCCTGAGGTGTTGGGCATAATTCTGAACACGTATGTATTTTCAGTTTTCACATTTAGTGATTAATCTTTTCCTCTTCCTCTCCAACTGGTGATATCAATACAGAGTGCATTAACCACCCCTTCTGAAAAGTCTTTACCCTGACTTTTGTCAGGATATGGTTGGGGAGAGGACACTGTATCTGGTGGAAGCTGTAACTGAAGAAGAGGACAAGGCATGACCTGAATACAAAAGTGACTGTCTGGAGTCACCCAATCAGCCTTGTGACTGCTGCTGGCTCTCAGGACAAGAACTCCCCAGGGACTGGCTTTGGACTCTGATACTTTATTTATTTTCTTTTACTTTGATGTATGTCAATTACTTCTGCTTCACAGTGTTTTATGCTACATCATGTTTTAATATGCTGTCCAATGCCATGCCCAACTTTATACCTTTATACAAACAATGGAAAGAATGAAAGCACTATTTAAGTGAAAAAGACAAGCCTAAGAAGACAAACAAAAAGTGTGCTGATGTATCATTCAAAGAAGATAAATTCATGTTTATAACCTTTGCTGGTTTACTCTCTGCTCTCACATCCTGTAACTCACTTAAACAGCTGCTTCTCTGTTTTATCTTTGCACCTCCATAGACCTCAGAAGCAACCAAATCCACAAGGGCAGATCCTTATGGCCGGATGGAATCCCATGGATATCAATTAAATAGATTGTTCTTTGCAGTAAGTATTCCTTACAGAGATAGGATTGAGAGGTGCTGATGAGCTTATCATGGAAGGTCAAAATTAATTTTCTCTTCATTCTTCTGGAAGTGTATGTCAGAGTTATATTTTGGGTTATTCAGACAGTTTGACACCACACAAATGGTCAAGGAGAAACCAGGTAAGTAATTTTGAATATTAAATTAAAACAGAAATCCTGTGAAAATAGAGAGTGGTGGTTAGAGTGTTTTCAATAAATGCTGCTTGCAAGCCACCAAACCAGAAAATTAATATACTAAGAAACAGTGGACAAGGTAACTGGGGTTCTGTGAGCTCATGGCAAGAGGATGAACACTCCTGTGCAGATGTCCAAGGCAACACTTTGCTCAGCAAGGCATCTCACTTTGCTCAGAAACACCTGGGACATTAAACAGTCATCAAACAGGTAACTTTAGGCTGCTCCCAGCCTGAGGTGAATTGCTGCTCTTTCCTTTGAGATCTGTCAAGTACCCCACATTTACTCAAGAGGTAAATACACTGCAGGCAGCTCTACAGGAATGTCACAAAAGCTGGCTCCATTTGTAAGGTTATTGCTGTTTGGTTATGTCTAAAAGACAAAAACTTCAAGAAATTATTTATTCAGAAACAAGATATTAAGGTCAGATAATCATGCAAACATTGCTTTAAAAAAATTTATTTACTCAAAGAAATCTTCTTTCCTTCT